AGTAGGGGTAGGCTGGTGTGCTTCTTCCATGTGGGTTCTGTTGTTTCTCAGCTAGATAGCTGCTTGTTTATCTTCAAGTCTTTAAGGCTTCAGGTGCAACTCTCTTCACCAGAAAGTTGTATTTTTCATCATTGCTACATCGCACCCTGACTGGCTCGTCTCTTCCCCGAGACCCCTCTGCAAGGGGACCTCCAGTGGTCTACAAATGGGCTTTGGGTCTCCATGAGGGCTGTATTTTCCAAGTCATCTGAGGAAGACTTGATTTACTTCTACAATAAAATTTGGAAAACAATTTAAACCATCTGGCTTTTGTCATTTGAGCCTTGTGGAAATTGTTCATTATCTTTTCATTCCATCTTTCCATGAACTGTTTGAAGCCCCTCGTATACAATAATAAGTGTATCACATAGTTACAATAGTAATTTCAACTTTTTTACTTTTATTACTACACTCATACCTTGTTTAATAAAATAAAGGTTATGAATATTCAGAAAAGTCAGAAAATCATAGATGAAAATTTGACCACTTCTATTCTCTTGACAGTAGTAATAAACATCATAAAAGTATATTGCCTCTTGGATAAATAGGCATTAAAAAAACTTTTTCTGCCTGTTGTTATTTGACGCTATTTTTTTTTTCTTTTCTTTTTTTCTTTTTTTTTAAGTGTCAGTAGTGGAACAATCCACCCTTTTCACTTGCAAAGGGTGAACAGAAAGCTACTATATTTCTCTAGGACATTTATAAAGAGTTATCTTCACCTTGAGAAGAAACTGAATAAGAATAAATGTCCACAGATGCTATTTTCTTAATGCTTTTACTATGCAATTTAGATTTAATAGCTATCTTGTTTCTTTTTCTTCAAATTACTTTCAGAACCATAGACTGTTATTTGAGGAGCATATTAGAATCCATGTTTTCCTATGCAATTCAAATATAGAAGGATGCTTTTATATCAAAACGAAAGATCGCTTTCATTTCCTTGTCTATTTGTTGATTTAAAATGAATGCGGTCTACCACTTGATGACAGTGAACGTTTTGGTTTTTTGAGAGTTTATATGGTGTCAGGCATAAACTAGCTTAATTTCAGTAGAGAACACTAGAAAGATGTAAGCTTTTCTTGAATGTACTAATTTTGAGGTAAAACACTTTATCCTTCCTTCTTTCTATAGCTTCTCGGACTGCTATTCAGAATGAGCTGCATCGAGATAGAAGGTATGACTCTATTTATAGTAGAGGACATATATCGTATTAATAATTGAAATAAAGCTTTGTCATCAGCTAGCACGTTAAATAGTTCTCTTTCATAAGCCATGTATTACTGTGTTCTGTCTCATGCGTACATTACCTGAATTAATTTATAAGTTTGAAGGATGATGATTATGCTAGAGAGAACAGACAACAGGCCTGAAAAGATTATTTTGGCTGTAATTATTTACTGAAGTCCATTTTTAAAATGTTTATTAAGCAACTGCTATATATGAAGTATTGTTGTGACTGCTTCTAAAATATACGTTGTGCCTCGTGCTACTTAGTAAATGCCACTTGGTAGATGACAGGGCAGAGAATTGAATGGAGGGGTGCAGGAGAGGAAAAGGCAGGCAGGCCGGAGGGTTAGCTGCATGGGTAAATGGCTGGTGAGAGCAGGGAGGAGTGAAGAAATGGGTAGATGAAAGGAAGAACCACCAGTCTGTTGGCAGATGGATGGATGGACAGATAGAAGGATGGAAAGGTGAGTATGCAGGTAGCTGGATGGATGCTTGGCTGATAGATGGATGTATGTTTATGAGACATGTCCTCTGCTTTCGTGTTTCTTATAGATAGAGTAATTAAGAGCAAGGGCTTCAATGTCATACAGAACCAAGTTCAAATACTGACTTCATTACTTTTCCAACATTTAATATGGGGCACAGCTACGTAACCTTTCTAAAATTCTGTGTCCCCATCTAAAATGTGTGTCTCCTCATACCTCTTCACAAGGTTACCATAGGATTAATGCATAGAAAGTGCTTAACACATGATAATTTGTAAGTCCTTATTGGGTTAGACAAAAACTATAACCAGAGGTTCTTAGAAAAGGAAGTTCAAGTATAATCAAAGATCCTGTTCTATTGTTTCACAAATGCGTATGTGTGTGCAAGGATGCACGCACGCATGCATGCGGATGCACACTTAAAAAAATAATGGCAGTGCTTTTTCACTTTTTAAATCTCAGAAAGGCAAAACTAGTTTCAGCACCCTTCAGAGTCAGATAAGAAAACTGAGACTGGGAGGTTGATTGATTTGCTCAGGGTCACACACTTGATATTTTTTATAAGGAATCAGGTTGAAGATAAATGTAACTGAAAATGTAGAATCAGGTTAAGAAAATGATACCAAAAAATCCCAACTGAAGCAGAAAACAATGTTTTGAGAATGATGATGGCAACAAATGTACAAAGGTGCTTGACACAGTGGATGCATGTATAGATTGTGATATAAGTTGTATGAGCCCCTAATAAAATGATTTAAAAGATATGTATGTGTGTGTGTGTGTGTGTGTGTGTGTGTGTGTGTGTATATATATATATATATATATCCCCAAATCACTATTACCCGCTAGAGCATTCAAGATTAACTATCAAATCATGTCGAAAATGATAAGCTCTAAACACTTCAAGGTAGCTTTGGCTTGAAGCACACAGGTAGAAAGAGGCAGAAGAGAATAGGGTTCTCCTGTGGTCATTGTGTTTCAGATTGTGTGCTTCCCAAAAGCAGAAAGCCATGCAGTTCCATTGCTTAGTGCATTTTCTCTGTCGTTTGCATGAGAGGGCTTCCAAGGACTTGTGAGGAAATTCCATGGTCTGTTCATCCACTTTGCATCAACTTTGTGAAGCCCCCTTGATTTTGCCTTTGTACTGTAGGCCAGATCAACAGAATTCTGGAAAAAGGAGAGATTGCATGGGTCTAAATTGTTGTTTACGAGTTCCTGGACGATGCTTAGCAGTTAAGCATTTAAGAACTGAAAATCGGATGGTTCAACCCCAAGCAAAGCCATTTTGGAAGAACAGCTTAGGAATCTGTTTCCAAAAGTTCAGAGCTTTGACAGTCCCCTTGGGAGCTGCTCTGTCCTCCACACTGGGAGCTGCCCTGAGTCGAGTTGACAGCAGCGGGGGACTGGCAGTTAGCCTTATCCACCAGTGCAGGACTCGATGTACTAGGGTCCTACTGGAACGTGTGGACTGCCACCTGTCCCCTTGAGGCTGCCTTTAGCGACAGCCCGGGCTCGACAGGTAGGTCGTTTCTGAGGATGTGCCAGTTCCGGGGTAATGCCTGTGAGGGACTGTGGTAGTTCTCGAAGTCTGCTGCTTGTTTCCAGGCCCTCATTGCTGCTTCTGTTTGCAGGCGCCCAGAGATCACCATTGTGGCAGCTGAGCCTCTGAGGCCCCCCTCGTGGTTCCCGGGGGGCCCACCCCCAGCATTGGGATTTCCACCACCTTCTTCGGGTGGCCCGTGGAGGCCCAGCGAGCTGATCCCTGCTGAGGTGAAGGAACAGCACTTTATCTCTTCCCTCTTTTTCGTTTTAAATGACCTTCCAAGATGAGAGTCGTGAGGCTTGCTAGCCCCTTGCCCATTTGCCCGTGGAATTGTCTAAAATCTTCCTTCTCTGTCTTACAGCTTCCACCTTCTTATGAGCAAGTCATAAAAGAGATCAACCAGGTTCAAGTGAACACAACAAATAATAATAATGCCACTGCCCTTCCCAGGCTCACGATCACATCCGCAACTCAGACGGACTTTTCAGAAGAAATAGACAACCATCTGCCTCAAAGTAATACACCAGGTGTGGGGGGTTGCCCTTCCTTCCCCTGGAATACTGTTCCAGAGGCTTCCAGCTTTTGAAATGATTTGGCCATGTGTGCCTAATTCATGGGGCTCTGCCTCTTAATCGAGAGATGCCGTGATTTCAGTAGATCATCCTCCATCTCATGGGTTCACCCCCGTGCGTGCGCAATGCAAAAACATCATCCGTTTAACTCACGGCTGCCCATTCCTGCCGCTGCCCTCTCTCTATTCCCATGGAAAAAGAGGTCATATTTAGCCACCAAAATGGATTAGGATGCTGAGGACGGTTGTCCTCTTAGTCTTGAAAACAGCTTTGTGTTAGGACAACGGAGATGAGTGGCTTTGGGGAAGTCCAAGAGAGGAATGAGGGCATTTTGACAACTGAAGAGAAACGGCTTGTGTGAAGAATAGCCTGAGAATCGGGAATGTGATCTCAAAATTCAGTGCCATTGAGTTGACTCTGAGTCATTGCGACCCCCTAGACCGCGGTAGAACCGCCCCTTGGAGTTTCTGATTCAATAAGTCTTCATGGGACTTTCAGGTGTCTGCCAGTATTGTGATAATGTTTTAAAACATCATCAAGTAAATATTTGTTAAATGAGTCCATATGATTTGAAGAATATTCTTCCAGGGAACGGAGTACAGCATTTCTCCAGTGTGATTCGGAATTCGTTTTTGGTTTTGTTTGCTTAATGAAGGAAATAATCTCTTGATATTCCCTGTGTAATTGAGAAAACATACTTTTATTTTGTTGGGTTTTTAACCCCCTGTTAGAGCATTATAACTTCCCTGTACCTTTTTCTTCCTGTTAGCACTACAGTCACCCCTGAAGCCTTCCCCCGCAGTTTCAACAAATGCGGCGCCTCTGATCGTCTTTGATACTCCTGAGGAGCAGCCTTGTCCAGAAGCCCTCAGTGCCCCAAGATGTCCAGTGCCAAGGCCAAGATCAAAAGGCAACCTCAGGCCAGTCGCCAGAAATACTCACATTAAAGAGCAAGGTCCCCAGAAAACTAGTGACCGGGCCACAGACGGGGACCCACCGCCAATCCAGCCTCAGTCCCTGGTAGATGATAACAACTTGGACAGCCAGGTGGCGATGAACATTATGAACACAGAAAGAAGCCAAAATAGCATTGTCTCAAGAGTCAAAGCATTTGAGGGTCAGCTAAATACAGACACCTCAGGACTGCCGAAGAAACCAGAGATTGTGCCCCGCACAGTCCCCCCACGGCCTGTGGTTTCCTCGGGGAAACCCGCAGTGGCTCCCAAGCCAGCTGCCAACAGAGCTTCTGGGGAATGGGACTCCTGGACAGAAAACAGACTCAAAGCGGCCCCCCGGGAAGGATCCGTCCCACACACCCCACCTCAAGAAGCAGGCAGCATCCCACTGACCAAACCTGAATTGCCAAAGAAACCCAACCCTGGCCTTACTCGAAGCGCCAATCCTGAGCTTCTCAGGGTGGGGACCACAGCCGAGGGCTCGGACGGTGGGAAGAAAGCCCCAACGCCTGCCCCCCGGCCTTTGTTGCCGAAGAAATCTGTTTCCTTGGAAAATGCCACCTGCCTTTCACCGAAACCATCCACTGTCCCTCCCCGGCTCTCAGCGGCTTCACAAGCCAAAGCCTTCAAGACCCTGGGAGAAGGGCCTCCTGTTGCACCCCTCAGTCCACTTTCACAAAGCAAGTCTCTGGGGGACATCGATCTTATCAGCTTTGACGATGACGTGTTACCCAGCCCGTTGGGGAACCTGGCTGAAGAACCTAGCGGTTCAGAGATGGTTCTGGGTGAGTAAAAATCAGAAGTGGAGGAGAGTCTAAACTCACCATAAAATAGATTAAATGGCACTTGCTGTTTTAGTTTTCAGAGCTCTGGTGGCATCCTGGTTACCCACTGGGCTGCTCACCACCAGCTGCTCCGCGGGAGCAAGAAGGGGCTTGCTGCTCCCGCAGAGAGTGAGGGTCTCGCGGGGGTGGGGGCTCATTTCTGCCCTGTCTGACAGGGTCGCTATGGGTGGACATCAACTCGATGGCAGTGAGATCTCGCTTTCGGTAGTTGAGGTGTGAGTGTGCGCTGCCCTGTGCAAGTGCGTAGACTGGGAGAAACAGCGAGACAGAGACAAGCTGGTGCGGCTTGGACACAGCAAGAGCAGAAACCATGAGGTGGGGAGATGAGTCCCAACGAAAGAGGGGATCCACAGAGGGAAAGGCAGGAAGTGAATACAGAAATGCAAAGTGTGCAAATGTACCCTTAATTCACTGGGTACTATTAGAACCGGCTGCCGTTGACTCTCAGTGGCCCCATCTGACAGCATAGGATTGCTAAATATATTTTTAGCTAATATATTTTTCTAACTTTTTTGTGTGAGTTGGGTAAAGCTTAGCAGAGCAAATCAGTCTTCCTTTCAACAATCCATACACATGTTGTGTCCGTATTGATTGGAATCCCCGTTATATAACATCACTTATCCCACCTCCTCCCTCTCTCCTGTTTCGCTTCTGCCTTCTTTCTTCTTTTTGTTAAATCATTTTATTGGGCCTCATACAACTCCTATCAAAATCCAACCATACATCAGTTGTGTAAAGCACA